GTGTAGTTCAGGGGTATACGGGATTATTGTCCATAAAGCAGTCAGTAAGGAATTATTATTACATATATCACTAAAGTGGATTCCGGATACAAGGATATCAGTTATTAACTGCATATTTTCGGAGTGTTTTTCTTATATAAATATAATATAAAATTATCGATGCATAAGTATAAAGTATAACTCGAAAATATAAAGCAGAAAATTAGATATTAAAGTCTCAGTTTCCTCTTCACAACGCCCTTTGGATATGCAACACATTTTTGAACACACCGCAGTTGGTAAGCGGTATTTGGCCGACGAAAGCAGGCTCCTGTAGCGTTTCCACTTGTTTTTGCGTTGTGTCCTGTGTTGGCGGAAGCGGCTAAATCAGAAACAGAATCTGAAACAGAATCAACCGAGCCAAGCAGCGGAAACTGTAGCTGAAGTTGAATGGCAGGCTGAATAGACTGCCGGACGGAGAGTCTGAAAAAGAGAGCCAGCGCTAGCAGATAGAGAGTGCAAAAAAAGGGAATATAAATTGCCTCTTAAATATGGAATAAGTGCGGAAAAGTGTACACCAGTCGACGACCGCCAGCAAACAACAAACATGCACATAGATAAACTATATAGCTTCTGGCCAAGATAAACACGCACACACACAGCAAAAACACACACACACACAGCACGCAAACGACAGAAAAAGAAGAATCTGATGGAGAAGATGAAGCCAAGTTTTGTAACAGTTGCAAAGATAAAGCAAAGTGGGCGTGTAATTGCGTATGTATGCCCGCGCGTGTGTATGTGTGTAGGAGGTGGGAGTGGCACACGCCCCACTCCAGCACCCTTTCAGCTACGCCTTGCTGCCATCCACAACAGGCTCATCTCCTTTGGCTGCCGTCTCCTTTGTGTCCCTTTGCATAGAATCCTTTGGCAATAGACACATAAATTCTTGCCAACACAACGTTTCGATTCAGATTCATTCCCCATTCAAAGCAAACGGCCGGAGGCGGGGCCAGCGAAGGGGTGCGGGTGGGTGTTGGCCGCAAAAGTGTTGGATCTTGTGTTTATAGCCATGTTAGATTTGCCACTAGTCCTCGTGTCCCCTAATCTCTTGGCCATTTGTTAATTCCCCACTCCCGATAAGAGTTATTTTCTAAAAGTAAAGCTAATGGCTTAACAAATTACCAAATATATCTTCGCTTTGGTTTTCCAAAACCAAGATTTTTATTCAAATATTTCTCCGTTTTATACCCGATTTTATTTCCTCTAATAATTATGCTAATTATTCACTTAAACGATAATTAATGCAATGCTGGTTTGACTGCATTGCAGAGAGGCTTAAAATATTGCCATAGGCAACGTGACGTATGAGTGATTCACAAAAATAATTTGCTTGCCTTAAAGAATTTTTCGTTCATTGATTTGGCTAACCACATAAATAATATTTTATAAAAGCAGTCACGACAAAAAAAGGCGTTTGAAATTGATGACGCAGCTTGCGAATTGGACGCAAGCGATAAACAATATTATTAAAATATTTAAAATTCACTTAACAAGAAAATCCGTTTAAAAAGTTTTATTGGCATTTTCACTTTAATATGATTTTATCTAGACCCAACTGTTTTCTACGAAATCTATTCTGATATCTATATTAAATTACTGATATTAAAAGTGTAGAAATTGAGGCCTTGTTTAATGCCATTCAACAAACGCATTAACTGATTTGTTTTAAATTTTTATTGTCATATATTAATAAATAATTATGTCCGAATGTAAGTTAACACATATTTTTTTGAGCTATTCATATTTGCGTTTTTTGTTCAAACAAATATTTGTTATTTGTTCAGTTGTGGTTCACATGGCGTATGCGCGATTGCTTGATTTAACTTAGTTAAAGGAAGCTTTAGACTGTTTTTTTTTGTCTTTGGCCTTGCTTTATTAGTGCATTTAAAACAAAATCAATGATTAAGTACGGTCAGCAATAATTTCTCTTTTGTGTATAATTTACATATCGGCGGCTAACATGGCGTATGCGTAATTATTGATAAATTTAACTTATTTTTCAATAAAATGAGTAAATTGAAAATGTTGTCCCCGATTAAAAATAATGTTCACACATTAAATACCTGAACGATTTATGTTTAATTGGTTTTTCACACAATTACTCAAATAAATTTGATTTCAGAAATAATTCCACAAAATTGAAAGATCTGCTCTGTTTACATATAAAGTATAATTAAATTTTCGCAAATTTTACTCTTATTAAGATCGAACATTTTGAAAATCTATTGTTTCAACAGCTTTTTTACGGGACTGATATAATTAATTAGAATGTGGAATCATACCCGTGTGGATCCCAATTTAAAGCAGGTACACTGCCGAATCTTTTAAAGAATTGAATATAATTACCCTTTTGAGACTCGTACCTCTCACTAACTAAATGGAGAATTCTAAATTAGAAAAAATTCCCCAAGGTGTAGAATGCAATTTTGTAATCAAACATTTAACTCATTGCCTGCGCAACGTTGATTGCCTCTCACTCGGCTTGGAAGCTGGTGGAAGGCAAGGCAATCTAATAGAAATACGAAACACATACACAAAGTTAAATAAAAGAATATGATACAAAGGTAAAGCCAAGAGCTGAACAAAGTTCCACCTTATCCCACTTGCAATCCCCAGGAATCTCATACTCCGTCCCGAGCTCTGCGTCCTGCTCAACGGATCCGTTCACACCACAGGCCACGACTTTTGCTTTTTTTTGCCCCCTCGGCTGACTTGGCTTGTCCCGAGCTTGGATGGCACACAAAGTTGCCGCCAGCTAGGGAGCCAGCACACACATCGGTGTATATATCCTATATGTGGATGATATATATACAGGTCCCGCCATGGACACATCGCTTTCATTTTAGGTGGCGCAGAACAGTAAAAAATCCCCTTCGTACACATTTCAGGCAAAAATTTCAATTAAGACTTTTACTATGAATTCATTTCTGTTTGCTTCGTGTGTTTATGTGCTTGTGTCCTCGCCTTGTTTGTCGCTATTTAGTAAATGTGCGCGTCTGTGTGCGTTGGCTTGAACCTTTGCCAGGACCGCTGGTAATTTTTCCTTGTTTTATGTTTAAGCGAAATTGGTCAACAGTCTTTTGTTTGGCGCGCCGGATGCAATTTTAATCTGCCGGAATGCCAGGCAAACTCACGCACCACAGGCGAGAAGCCTCCATGGGATGATGGATAGCAAGGGGTGGTGTTCTGAAGGTTGAATGAGAGAAATAATGACTACAAGCCGCAAACACAAATACAGCAAACATAGACAGACAAACCCACCAGCTCTCACCCAGACGGACAGGCACACGCACACGGACACGTTTCAGCCAAATGGCAAGAGCAACCACATAATATTTTAGTTTTTTGACCCAAAAATGTCAGCGGGACATGAATTATCACTGCCGCCATCGCCAGCCGTCGGTGAAGCGAGGGCAGCTCTATTGGTTAGCAAGGAGTTCGATATTGTTGGGGTGTTTTTCAATACGAACAATGCAAAAGTAACAAATAATTTGAAAAATAAATAAATTTTAAAGTCTGGTCCAACTAATATCAGTTTGAAGAAACTTGTGTCCAAAACATATTACGTATACGTAATATTTTATTTCATAATCTTTAACGCATAAAGAGTGGACAGTTTATTGTAAACTATGTATACTTCGTACAACGGTTTATTATATCCCCAAATATTTTAATAATATGCAAATTACACCTTCAAAATAAAATTGTTTTAAGAAAGCTAGTTTTCATCAGATGTGAATCGATCTTTTATTGTTTTTTTATAAAGCCACAGGAAAGGCAAGGCCTTTTTTGTAAATGTTCGGCCATATTTGGTAATGGTGCTGCTGACTTTTTGACGCTTTTAGACCCAAAAACCCCAGCGGAGCTCGTATAAAATTCTTTTTGATGGGATTAACGCAGCGAGCGCAGAAGCCAAAGCATACTTTCCGGGGCGAGCCGCGGCGTTTGATGGAATTAAGCCAAAGGTGGCCAATATCGCAAAGTGGCGCCCAGGCCTAATGTCATCTTTTTGGGTCTTGGAAAATTCGAGCCGGGGAAAGCCAAACCGGGCTAATTTCATTCTGAGATCCGCCCTCGCAGCGGTCCTTGATGTTTGCGGCCGTTGCCGTTGTTGTTTCAGCCACGCAGGTTGCTCTTTGCCTTGCTTCTGCTTGTTTGCCTATGTTTGCCTATGAATAACAGGAAAACCAACAACTATGCTGGGCAAAGGAGCAAGGAAGCAGAGGAGCGTAGCACACTCTCTCACTCTCTCTTTGTCTCTTTCTCTTTCTGCAGGCAGCTTAGGGTGAATTGAAAAGCGGCAGATGCGAAGGAGGAAGGAACCGGAGGAGAACAAGATGAAGGAGCAGAAGAAGGAGCTGCGGCGTCGCGTCGGCAGAGACCGCGGCAGAGCCATCTTGAGGCGTTGCAAGGCGACGACGCGACGTCAGCGGCGACGTCGACGACTGTCACTTTCCAAGAGGGAAAAAATCTGTTTGGGGCGTTTTTATTTTGTGTACCCTCTACTTGTAGAGTACAAGGGTATGCTGGGTTTGACCGCATTAATTACCATTTTATTTATTGTACAAATAAAGTCTAGAGTTCCAAACGACTCAACCGAATTGTTAAAAAAAAGCATTTAATGCCAAAGAAGTTCATCTATAAATACGGGTCATCTGGTCATCTGTTTATCTCTGACTGGTTTTGGGAAAAGAAGTTGAAGTCCAAACTAAATGTATTCGATTAAACCGGCTAGAACTTAACAACAACTAGTTTTAGGTCAAACAATTTTTGGAGTAATGATCATAATTAAACCCTAAGAATCCAGTCACTATGAAAGGGCTATAGTAAAGGACAACACCAAGTCGGCACACTCTAGTTATTTTTTTGGTATTACTAGGAGCAACTTTGCCTGTACATTTCTTTTTTGCGTGCTTCGTCCTTTTGCTTCTACTTTTGCATGACTTATTTGGGCTCACCTTTCGAGCTGTTGGTCCTCGTCCTTGGCAAGCTGCTTAATCGCCTTTGTCCCTTTTAACTTTTGCGCCGCCAATTTTCTCCCCTTTTTTGTTAGGATACGCTGGGAATTCGCTGTAGTTTTATTTTAGCTCTGGTTTGTTTGAGTGCGCGGAGTATTAAAAGTTTATTTGGCTTACAAATTTAGTTTGTCATTTCTTTGGTTTTCACTTTCGCTTTTTTCTGTTGGAGACTGTCCCGTTGTATTCAACAAATTGTTCGCGCTTCTCCTTCAGCTTCACCTTCACTTCTCTCGCTCACTCGTTTCCCCGTCGTTTTTTCCCACTCGCACGGCTTATACGTGTGCGTGTGTGTGAGTAGGTGCCCGTTTATGCTTGGCTTTGTCTTTGGCGAGCAGCAGGTTTTTACAGTTAATTGAGTCTGCTCCGGTTTTTTTTATTGCTGGTCACACTTTTTAACACTGCCTGCGAGCTTAGTTTTTTTTTCACAAGTCACACTTCAGCTTCCTATTCTGGGCCTGTTCTGCTTGTTTTTCTCGTTTCCGCTTGCGTTCTATCCGTACTCCGAGTCCGTGTCCGTCTGCGTGCGCGTTCGCTCTTGCTCTGATGCTGACACAACGATGCTCCGACTCTAATTGCGTTAAAATATTTTCGCTCCCACAACAACAAAGCCAACAGTGAAAGCCAGGGGAGAGAGTGGAGCAGCTGCAGCAACAACAACAGCGCCGACAACAACGGGCGCTCTCCAATTTGTCTGATGCTGCCTGCTGCTTCTTCCTTCTACTATGGCCACACAGTTCAATTTCAAGTTGAAAACTTTTTTCGGGTGAAGCTCTCCCACCACCCACACGAGCAAGTACACGCACACCCGAAACGTTGACTTTGGGCAGCTTTCGGTGAGAGCCGCTCTTCGTTCGTGCGCTGCGTGTGTGTGTGTGTGTGTATGTGTCTGATTTTGTTTTCCCATCTTGCCGACCTATTGTTGTTGCTGTTGTCCCTGCCATCGTGAGCGAGAGGTTCGTCGTTCGTTTTTCCCACAAATTTTCGCATTTCGTATTTCGTATTTGGCGCAAGCTCAGTTTATTGTTGCCATTCGTTATTATTATTGTTGTAGCGTGCTTGCTGCTGTTGTTGCCATTGTTGTTGCCGTGCTGGCATTTTTTGGTCCTTGTTGCGCTCAGCAAGTGAGAAAAGCCACAGGAAAAGCCGAGCATCGGCATCGGCATCCTCATCGGCAGCATCCGCACGAGTCCGTCATCGCGGCCGTTCTTCGGTTTCCTTTTTTCCGCCTCGCTCTCGTTTCAACGTGACTCGGGGGCGGAACGGCAGAGGTCGGGTTAAGACTTAGGATGTTTGAATATTGACTTTACTTAGTTTCGACATTTAAGAAGAGATATTAAAATACAGTTTAATTTAATATAATAATGTAAGATGTAAAAGAAAAGAATGTTTAAATTACACTTAATTGCCGATTTAAAAACAGTTGATAGTAGCCCCAGAAGTATGCTACAAAACTAATTCCTTAAGAAAAAATAAATTTACAAATTTAAATCTTGTTTTTTTATTATTTATTTTAGAAATGTACACATTTTTATATACTGAATTTTCTTGTAAATAACTTTTGAAAGCCCTGATTTCTACCGATGCGCCCCTGTTTCAACTTTCAGTGGCACTCTCTAGTATTGTTTTTGTATTGCTGGGCTGTGTTCCACTTTACACTAGCATACCGGTACCTATGCTCGTACCTTATATTGCATATATACGTACGTACAAAAGGATATACATTTACACATATAGACTATTTTTTTCGCATACTTTCACGGCTGACTGGTGTTTTGTTGGGCATTGTTGTTATTGTGATTGTCGTTCCAAACACTTGGAGAACCCCTTTTCATATGTTGACAGTGGGAGCTGAAGGTGTTGTTGGGATAGCCGGTACTCGAAGAGTATGCCAGATCCTATAGGATATATACCTGATCCAAATAAGTGTAAGAAAAAGGAGTTTTTTAAGCAGAACTGAAGATCACATCTCCTCCAAGTTATTGTAACTATGATCTTCACAGTCCCAAAGTGGCTTAAACGATCATAAAATTTTGAGTTTCCTTCTTTAATTCTTAAAACTAATCATTTTAGTTGTTAAGATTAATATAACTATAATTTTTCATTAAAGAAAAACATTTATCTTCTAATCTTCTTGTCTTTTTATTATGTATATGAAAAAAAAAGATCAAAATGGCCGGTATTTTTCAGTCGGTAAACTCCACTACATCATTCTAACTTTTTGTTCTTATGCTTCAAGGATGAAGGTATCCTCGATTGTACCTGGGTCGTGTGCTTTGGGTCCGCTCTTGTTGTGGGTCGCCATCGTTGCGGGCTGAGCTCTTTGCCTTGTTTTTCCACGGGCGACTGTCTGAAGTGCAAATTTGCTTTAATTATTCCACGGCAACAACGGCAGCATTTGCAGCGGGCTTGTGACTCAAATTCAGACACTAGCCTCGAGACCCTCAAGCAGCAGCCTCCTCTCACACATGTACACACAGCCTTCCGCAAGAGTGGACCTGTTTTGATATTTAAAGATCCTTAAGACTAAGCTTACTTCACTGATAAAGATATAAAAAAAACAACAAAAAATAAAGTACTGGCATTTTTCAATTTTTTAAAGAACATTTTTATATTTTATAAGGGATACTGCTCAAGATATGTATTAACCCATCTAGGGTTCGGTTGAGAACTCTATAATCTTGACTTTGTATTATTTGAAATACAAAAACAGGAAACCATGACAGAATTATACACAGAAAACTGTTCAGAGATGTTTAATAAAATCATAAAAATGAAATTGTATAATTTATTTTTTTGCAAGAATTATAATTAAGGTTCACCCTAATGGCCGCATCTCAGTGGGTGACATCGGCAACGACAACAAGTTTACTTATGCACCTCCCCGTGCGGCGGAGGACTTAACGCCCCCGCAGGCGGCAGTCACCGCGACATTGAGTGACACCGTGCAAGTGGATCGTCGCCGTTTCTTGCAGTGTACGCCCCAGACATGACACTAGCCGGGCTTCAGACCATTCAACCAGGCATCCGGACAGCCAGGCAGCCAGTCAACCCGGCACCCATCTATCTAACCAACCAACCGACCCACCGACCTGGCTCCTCTTGGGTGGCTTCGTCGCATTTGATGCTTGACATTGTTGGCAGTCGATATTGGTTGTAATTAGCTTTAATTGAAATTGCTCCATTCCCATCCGGCAGCTATCCCCTATACATACGTATATCAGTCCCGGCTGTGTGTGTATGTGTGGGCCGTGATTGGGGTTTTAATGGGGAAAATGTTTGTAATTTTGGCAAAGTTAATTTATGGAGACCCCAAACTAATCCCTGACCTCGCCACATTTTCAGTCGCCAGAGCAGTCGGTGCTCTGTCGCATTTTACGGTTGCCATTTGCCACTCAAATAATTAGAGAAGTTCCACGCCAAAAGTTTATACATTTTCTACCAATTTTGCGGATTGTTTGAATTCAATTGATTTCGGCCATTTGGTGAGCGAGGTGTAAATGGGTGTGAGTGGCAAAAACAATATGTAGATAGCATGTATAAGCTGCAAAATGGGTAAATATATTGCCGGAAATTAGATAAACAATTTTACAATAAATATTAAATGCCAAGAGTAAAATCAATTTTAATGGAATGCAGGCTGTAGATTGCTTTATGCGGGCAAAGTCAAATTTATTTAAATCTCTGGCGAATAAAAGCGGAAAAGCGTTGAGCAAATCTGTTTAAGTCCTCTTTTTTTCAGCAGATCCATTTAATTGTCACAATGTCTATAGCAGAAAACATCGTATTGTACTTGTTTTCGATAATTAGAAATTGTTTACCCAAGTGAATTGCAGTGGAAATCTTTGAAGAGTTTATGGACATAAACACGGTTTATGGCGCAGATATCAAATGGAATACGGCTTGCTGTCTGGTGGAAAAAAAAGTTCAGCAAGTACTTTTATCAGTTTTTGGATGTATCATGATTTGCCAGTAACGATTATAAAGAGCAAATATGCCGAAATCATCAATTTCGGTTTTATGCAAATGCTAAACAAATAAACAGACAACTTTATGCGCGCACTAATTCCCTAATTCCAAATGATTAATCTAAACAAACATTTGGGGAAGTATTTAGGTTTTAAGTGAGAGTATTATTGATAAAGTAAAATCAATTAGACCGTCAATTAACAGACCTGCTACCACTACCAAATCTCCCTTAAACTAGAGCAACTGATAGGGAAATATAATATAAATTTGCTGTTCGATTGGCCGGGCTATAAACCCATCAAATGCTTTCGATTTTCGATTGATTGAACGCCTCAAGACTGACTAATTAAAGGAAAACCGGGCGTAATCTCCAGTCATCAATCATATTTATTGCATACTTTTTCGTGCGATATATGGCTGTATAAATATTTTTGCAGGGCCTGGTGCGCAGAGTTATGGCATTGCATTCGCATTCGCCGTAGTAAATTCTGAAAGTACCGACCATTGCGATATATTGAATTTATAGCCCGATTGTCGTCGAGTGGCTTGGGAAACGACCAAGAAATTGTTTTGTTGACCGACCGGCTACAGGGGCTATATTACCAGAGATAGAGTGTAGAGTGTAGAGTGGCAAGAGCAGTATAACTGGCTTACAACTATTGGCTACCGATCGGCTTGATTTGCGCTCGATCCGAAGAGCTCGCTTTGGTGGGTGGATCGTGCAGGAAGATAAAGAAGTCTTGTGGCGGCGATATAACTTCGGGCTGCGCTTCGGGAAGAGCAGAGAGAGAGAGAACGACGCTACGGCGAGCAGCGAGAGAGGTTTAATTCTTCAATTAAATTCTTCCGATCGCGGTTACAGCGCCTGAGTGTGTGTGCCTATAAAACGCCTGCATTAATTTGCAGCGATTTAGTCGTGTTTTTAAGCAGGTTGCGGATCGTCTTCGCCTCCGCCTCCGCCTCCGCCTCTGTGTCGCGTCTGTGAATATGAAAGTAAAAGTCCCCTCAGAACGTCTTTTGTCTCCTAATTAATTGGCACTGCTCTCGCACTCTTCTGAGAAAACGTGAAACTAGAAACGGAGAAAAACGAACGGTGGTGATAGAGTGTGCCTGAAGATTCAAGACATCAACGAAAGTTGTCTAATTTCCTGCCCGCCGTGTGAATACAAAGTAGGTTTCGCCTCCCGAGAACCCGATTTGCACACATCTTCTCCCCCCTGAAAATCAACCCCATACAGCCCAGTCGGAAATATAATAAAGTAAATACTTTAGATACTTCACATTTCTGTCTGTACGTGTTTTTCGGGAGACATGAGTTGACCAATTAAATGCGAAAATCGCCGCAAGTGCAAATGCAAATTACACTTATGATTGAGGCGCTTGCTTTGACTTTGTGGCGTTATTAATTTAGCTCATACATTTCACTTTATCAACCTTCTGCTTCTCATTTGCATATTGGCCGAAATTAATGGCCAGTGAATGATTTCTTAATGAACTCGAAATGAATGCATAAGAATATTTTATTATACGAGGAAAATCAATTTGCAGTGCTACCAATTT